CCTGGTGTTGATATCATCCTCACCAATTGGGAGTTAAAGTTACACTTTGGAAAGTGGTAATATTTGAATTCTTTAATAGTGATAATTATCTAACATTCGCCTGGCTCTGGATGTCTGCTCTTGTGTCCACTTTACAGGGGTGCGGAGGCAAGCTGTCTCTGTGTGTGTGTGTGTGTGTGTGTGTGTGTGTGTGTGTGTGTGTGTGTGTGTGTGTGTGTGTGTGTGTGTGTGTGTGTGTGTGTGTGTGTGCGCCGGAAACGGCACCTGAGACACAATAGCGGAGGATATTGATGATCGTCCGACATTTTACCAGCGGTGATCTTAACATGAAGAGTGACACACCGGACAGATGATTAAGTCAGGGTAACGGTAAACCCGCGCTGAAACTCGCTAAAATGTACTTCCCCTCCATATATTTTCCGCATACTCATGTTTGCGGAAGTAATCATATCTCTCGGCTGTGATTGATTGTTCCTCGTGACATGACGGTGCTCGGCGCTGCTCCGTTCTAAAGTTCTACTATTTTGAACTCAAGGCGTATGGGCCTTGCGTCGGTAAAAGACGTGTAATAAACAAGAACACTGGTTTAGATTTGGGCAACAGGGCTAAATTTGATTGAATTATAAAAGGTATATGTGGTAAAATTAAGAGCCGTTTGGGAGCCGAAAGAGCCGGCTCTTCTTCGTGAGCCGAGCCAAATGATCCGGCTCACTAAAAAGAGCCAGAATTCCCATCACTACCACACACATAATGTTTCCTACAAAGATATTCTGTACCCTGACTCTATGAATCCTGTCTATACAGGTGTTGTTAGGAAATAGTACGGACATTATTGTGTACAGAAAAAAGGGTGGCGCGCAATACAGTTTTATTTTTATCTGAAAAAAATTTCCATCACTTTTCAAAACAAAGGCCCATTGAAGGTAAAAACAACAAAATAATTATTTAAAAAATATAATTTTATTATTATTTCGAAATGTTATTCTGTAACTTTAATCTCAGAGAATTTGAGTTTTTGTAATAACATAATATAGCAAGTAGTTGAAAGACCACGTCACTTTGGTATTTATGACATGTTGAGTGATTGATTTATGAACCCCTATTAAACCTTAGTCCCGCCCCTAAATCCCTTTGATGTGACAGGTGTTGGTGCACCTGTTGTAGTGACCCCTAATAAACCATTGTCTTTACTCTTTTATGACTTGATTGTTTAGCTGGTTATTGTTTTATTGCCCCCTCATAAAAGTATTGTTTTCCGAAATAGGGGGGTAATAAGACTTTAATGACCCTTTGTCTGTGCACCTGTTGTAGTATCCCCCTAGTAAGCCATTGTAGTCAATGACGATGTATGACTCGCTTTGGTCCCCTGTTGTTGTTGTAATGCCCTCTATAAGGTAATGTTCCTTAATAGTGGAGTAATAATACGTATTGACCCTTTTGTGGTAATATATGGTTATATGACATTTAAGGATGTCTTTTTGAAGTTGTATAGGTAGGTAATAAGTAAGGGATAATGTGCAGCGATGCGGTCATTATGGGGAAAAGAACACCGACAGGCAGATCAGGAGCCCGACACGAAGCGGAGGGATCTAGATCGGCATGAAGGTGTTCTTTTCCCCATAATGACCAACTCGCTGCAAATTATCCCGCTTATTACATGGCCACATTCTCAACAAAGTTATGATATGACTGAATATTCAATATTAATTGAAATGCTTTTATGGATTTAGAAAATGATTTTATTGATTTAAAAAATAGTTGTATGTATTGATTTAAATTGACATGCATCCGCTAAGGAAAATAGTCCGTTGTTACCGTTTGAAAAACGTTTCATGCTTAGTCCCCTGTGTCTCTGGCAGGTGTCACCACATTGTTAGTTTCTTTTTACAACACACACACACACACACACACACACACACACACACACACACACACACACACACACACACACACACACACTCTAAAGGGCTAGCTTGTGATTTTTAACACTTTCTTGTGTGAAACTAGGCAGTTTTATTCATTTACTGATTGTTGCTTAATTCTCTCACCAAGGTACTATAAGATACACTTGTATGTATGTGTTACGTTCCCTCCTGGACTAGGGGTACAAAGGGAAGTAACAACATATATATAACATATAACCGGGAGAGAGAAAAAAGAGAGGAAACTGATTTCTGAAGCCACAAGGTGATGTTTTAATTGGTCAAAAAGTAAAGAGGGCTGCCCAGCCAATTTGCAACGTAAACTAATGATAAACAAAAAACAACTTTCTTATTAAAGAAAGTGACTAAAGTACACAAGATACAAAGGTACACATCTCCTAAAAATGAATAAAACACAGATTAAACTCTAAGGTCTCACACAGAGACACCACACAAGCTGCATTGGTCACACATGCAGCCCAGGCAACCCTGTCTCCTAAAAATTACGTTCCCACAGAACTAAACTGCATTCTCAATTACATTTAGCTGGAAACATATTTTCTCCCACGTTACGTTTGTTATGAACGTATCTCAAATACGTTTATTTTCTACATATCTTCTAGAAACATATTTTCTCCCACGTTACGTTTGTTATGAACGTATCTCAAATTATTATTAATTTGGTTATTTTCTACATATCTTTGCCATTTATTGTCTTGCTTATAATAATGATAATAGTCATTTATAAATATCATTTTAGAGCACACATTTGAAATCGACGATCGGGCTCGATATATGGTTAAATTAAAATCAGTAGGCGAGGGTGTAATTTCAACACGGTCTCAAAGGCAATGTGAGCGTCCATTCCCATTGGATAACGGAGGATTGTACACCCAGAAGTAAGTATTCCCCTTACTGTCGATTGATTTGACAGTGATATCTGCACTACTCATCAACTCAAAAACACCAGATTATCCTTGTTAATTACACAACATTGATTGGTTTAAATTGTGTGCAAAGCTTTTGTATTTTTCCCCTTCGATTCGGAGAAACAAATATTTTTTCGGAGTTTAGGATGGCAGAAGGCACTACACTACCCAGAATCACTTCAATTAAAAGATCCAATATAACAATTTTGATTTGATTTTTTGTTGCTGAATCTATTCCTACCTTTGGTAGAAGTTCCTTTCTGGAATGAATAGGCCTGCTCTTACATGCTCACTATCTGTATTAATATTTCAATAATGAATATAACTTAAAGGTGGGGTAGGTAATTTCGGAGAAACCAGCTCGAGATCGCTAGAATTTGAAAATACACAACCGGATAAAATCTGCCACTTCCTCACAGAGCTCCTCCTCCAACACACACGAACGCACACATGACCAATGAGGGCACGAGATAAGTTTGTGCACAGATGGAAGGCTGACAGGCAGGTAGGCCATCCAGTTATTTTAGCCGGGCCGGCTAAAATGATTGGTCGTGCTTTTTACAGTATTACGGCTTCAACAGATGAATTTTTTTAATGGATTTTTTGTCAAAGCACTTAAGATATTCATTGCTATCGGGATGTTAAGAGCATTCCATGGAATATAACAAAAAGTGTATCTCGAGCCGGTTTCTCAAACTTACCTACCCCACCTTTAAGTAACTGTATATTTTATCATTTGTATTGTCTCACGTTCTTATTAATGTTCCAACTAAAACCTTTATCATAAAATGCTGTCTATTCCCAACCGTTCTGCAGTTCAGGTACATTTACATTTCCTCCTCCCTGAAATATATGTTTCAGTAACCCTTATATTTCTCCTCAAATGCATTGACAGTTCACTGGATTCGATAAGAGAGTGTGAAAAATGTAAACACATCCAAATGTAAAACAGAGGAAGAGGATGATGTTGAGGTCAAGCAGAGCATGAACAGGGTGGGGGGGTTCTAATTCAAACACACACACATCTGCTTGCAGTAAGTTCTGTTTAATTCAAACAAGTTGGAACTATAAAAAAATATTGTCAGTCGAAAATTCCACACAGTACAACGTCTCATGTCCTATATTATTATTACAACTCTTATTATTATTCCGTTGCCATTCAAGGTGACTGGCAACGGAAGCTCCTCACAGCAGCATCAGCCAGAGAGCTGAAGCAGAGAGCTGAAGCAGAGAGCTGAAGCTGAAGCAGAGAGCTGAAGCTGAAGCAGAGAGCTGAAGCAGAGAGCTGAAGCAGAGAGCTGAAGCTGAAGCAGAGAGCTGAAGCAGAGAGCTGAAGCAGAGAGCTGAAGCAGAAGCAGAGAGCTGAAGCAGAGAGCTGAAGCAGAGAGCTGAAGCTGAAGCAGAGAGCAGAAGCAGAGAGCAGAAGCAGAGAGCTGAAGCAGAGAGCAGAAGCAGAGAGCTGAAGCTGAAGCAGAGAGCAGAAGCAGAGAGCTGAAGCCGAAGCAGAGAGCAGAAGCAGAGAGCTGAAGCAGAGGCAGAGAGCAGAAGCAGAGAGCTGAAGCAGAGAGCTGAAGCTGAAGCAGAGAGCTGAAGCAGAGAGCTGAAGCTGAAGCAGAGAGCAGAAGCAGAGAGCAGAAGCAGAGAGCTGAAGCCGAAGCAGAGAGCAGAAGCAGAGAGCAGAAGCAGAGAGCTGAAGCAGAGAGCTGAAGCAGAAGCAGAGAGCAGAAGCAGAGAGCTGAAGCAGAGAGCTGAAGCTGAAGCAGAGAGCTGAAGCTGAAGCAGAGAGCTGAAGCTGAAGCAGAGAGCTGAAGCAGAAGCAGAGAGCAGAAGCAGAGAGCAGAAGCAGAAGCAGAGAGCAGAAGCAGAAGCAGAGAGCAGAAGCAGAGAGCTGAAGCAGAGAGCAGAAGCAGAAGCAGAGAGCAGAAGCAGAGAGCTGAAGCAGAGAGCTGAAGCTGAAGCAGAGAGCTGAAGCAGAGAGCTGAAGCTGAAGCAGAGAGCTGAAGCTGAAGCAGAGAGCTGAAGCAGAAGCAGAGAGCAGAAGCAGAGAGCTGAAGCAGAGAGCTGAAGCTGAAGCAGAGAGCAGAAGCAGAGAGCAGAAGCAGAGAGCAGAAGCAGAGAGCTGAAGCTGAAGCAGAGAGCTGAAGCAGAGAGCAGAAGCAGAGAGCTGAAGCAGAGAGCTGAAGCTGAAGCAGAGAGCTGAAGCAGAGAGCTGAAGCAGAGAGCTGAAGCTGAAGCAGAGAGCTGAAGCTGAAGCAGAGAGCTGAAGCTGAAGCAGATAGCATTTTGCTCAATGCAACAGTGGAGGCAGATTGATGTTTGACAATGCATGTGCACAGCAACAGCACAGTGACAGGTTCTGGATGCACAGTTAGGACATATCTTTGAATTGAAATGCAAATGCACTGTAGAACTTGCATTACCCTAACAGCAGACACAGTTTACATTCTACATGAACATCAGGTTATATTTGTTAAACTTACATTTCAAATAAGATAATCATATAATAATATATAATAAATAATTTGTAACATATTGTAGCATCTGCACAAAACATATTTTGGTTTAAATGTGAAATAAGACAGCTGAGTTAGACATAAATAACATTACACTAACACCATAAGAACGTCTTTCACTCATTTTCCTACAAACTAACAGTTGCACAATGAAAGCAACATCTAGTGCCTTTCAGATATTAAAGTAAATATCAAACAAACACTTTAAAACTAAGCACAGTGGCACATTGACATAGAGAATGGCAGTGCAAATATGAAATGCTAACCCTTTAAATGACATTGTCTTCAAATACCTTGAAAGACTAACATTTGGCAGCGCTGTGCTTAAATACAATAGTGATGGTGGTTGAGGCTGGATTAGGAGTGTTCACTCTCCTCTGCAGCTTTGTCACACAGCTCGTGAAGAATGGGAGTCAGGATTCCTTTAAGTGTTGTGTATAAAGACGTGTCCTTCTCTGAGTCAGGGTCAATCTGGGGAGAAAAGAAAAAGACATTTCCTGCATCCCAAACACAACTTCATGAATTCAATTAAGGCACTATGGAAATACTCACCTTAGTAAACACTTTAATGGTTTGGTTGAGAAGACGGGTCTCTGTTAGTTCAGGCAGAGGCAGGAGATGAGCAGCACAGTGCAGGACACACAGCAGGGTGAGGCAGGGGCCCTGCAGAGGGAACACAAACATGTAGGATTCTATCAGACTACATGGTTTTCAAAAAGGCGTGGGAGAAGAAAACAATCAAACTCTGAGACAGCAGGATTTATTTTGACCACGACAACTCCCTGAGGGTGGAGCAACAACGCAAGGTGCACACAGGTGTTAAGAAGATCTTGAAGGAGGAAGGCATCTGCTTTTAGACCCCGCTCAACAGGACACGTATCCACTGGGCTAATGGAGGGAACACATAGCAGCGTGTAGAGGAGGCAGCTTGCCATAGGAGGAGAAGAGGGTATGAAGTGGATGACTTGGACACGGAGCAACAGAACTTCGCAGACACGTGAACGGGCGAAATAACTGCTGCGAGAATTCAACATGAGGACAACAACGCAGGATAAATGTCTGCTTCAGCCTGACACACAAGTAAAACACAGAAGAACATATGCTTGTAATATAATTCAAGTAAAATAATAAAATGTACGTTTTAAAATCGATGTGAACTTGAGAGATACTGATATCTAGCATGTTGGTCTAAAGGGGACTGAAACACAGCTTCTTATATTATAGACCTAGAATAAGCAGTTTAGCCCATAAAGGGTTCATCCTTTCACTCGGGGGCCATTGTCCAAATGGAAGGTGATCCCCCTTAAAAAAAAAAGGAGAGTCAACATCGCCATCACTGTACATAGTAGAATGTTGATGTTTTTTGTCGTTTAACGTTGTTAAGTGCCTAAGGATATTTCACTGTTAGCCTGGGTGGGAGACACTACTGGACCAAAAACAGCCTATGATTACCAAACAAGAAGGAATCAAACCTATGTCCTTTAGTGTCAATGGTTTGAGAAACCCCACGCAAAAGAGCAATAATTATTACCAAAATCAAAAAAGAAATGACAGGGATTACCTTCCTTCAAGAAACCCATCTTTCCCAAATGCAACATGAAAAACTGAAAAGATCTGGATTCAAAAACACCTTAATAAGTGTATAATAATGGCCTACCATCTGGATACCATTAGCTGTAAGATACCTATTACAAAGCCGGTGAAAAATACTTGAGAAGAGATGGGATTTTGTTATGTATGGGTCGCCCCTTAATTCTCCACAAAAATACTTTTGCTATTACTCAGCTGCATACTCATTGGAGTGTCTGATGTGTCTGATCACTTTGCAATGTACTTACAAATTAAACTGGGGATGGAGATTTAACATGGCCTTAATAACCAATTGGTTGTTGTTGAGTTTTCTTCATTCATTCTGGTTGGTGTTTACATCCCACCGCATGCGAACGCGCAGGAGGCGCAGCGCAGACTCACCGACCAGATACTGTGTGTGGAGAGGACTTATCCGGACTCCCTAGTTATTGTTCTTGGTGATTTTAACAAAGGCAACCTCAGCCATGAACTTCCTAAATACAAACAGTTTATTAAATGCCCCACCAGAGAGGGGAATATTTTGGATCACTGTTACACCAACATCACGGGAGCCTATCATGCCGCCGCCCCCCGCGCTGCACTTGGCCACTCTGACCACACCATGGTCCACCTGATTCCTGCATGTTGTTGAGATCTCCATATTAGGTTGAATACTTAAAAGGAAAGTTAGTTATAATCAAATATAATCAATTATATTCTTGTATAACCCACAATGAAAATGCTTCATATTTTATGATTTTCTATATTTACAGTATAAACAAAGTGGTTTGTTAAGTTGAGTGTAAAGCCTATAATGGTTTATGGGTGTCACTGATAAGAGAAGAGAGACAGTTTCTTCCCTCTCCCCTCACAGCAGTACACAGGGAGGGGGGCTCCTGACTTAAGGAGAAATACATTGAGGCCCCAAAAAGGTGGTTATGTCATACCCGAGAATACTATTTTGCAAGTCCTGCAGAGTAGAGGTCATGTCCTTTTTACACAAACATGGGAAGGTGTGTCTTATGCCATAGCCATAGAATATGTCTGGTCATGTCCAGTTCTTTACATCAGAGGCCATGCCCAGTTTCCACAAATATGGGTATGGAGGAGGTGTCTTTAGGTTTTTCTATCCTGTTTTTGAGCATAAAAACACTGGCGGAGAGGGAGAGGGGGGGGGGGGTTCCCCTGGTATACTCTCTCTCTGTAACACTCTCTCCCTGGAGAGCTGGGTTTTTGATCTCAAAATTCTTAGTTGAATTTGGAGTGAATTTCTGGGTTGAATGAGTGGAATTATTTGATATTTGATGTGTTCGTGAAGATTAGGCCCGCCATCTGTGAGGAAACTTCCTCCGAATTCATGCGGGATATAGGTATGTGTTTTTGAATGTTAGTCCCGCCACCTGTCGGAATATAGGTATGGAATTGATGTGAATTGATTTGGTGAATGAAAGTTTGAATGTGCTTTTTATTATCACCGGTCATTTATGAGGAAATGCCTCTAAATTCTATCGGGAGATTTAAATGTCACAACTGAATTGGGCAGTTGAAGTTACAATTTAGTGTAATAAATGTAAAACTGTGAATTAGGGTTGCATACTAGAACATGATCACAGCATGATATGTTTTGTAGGATTGTCATGTTGTAAAGAGAGAAGATAAAAACTCTGTATAAGTTTGGACCATTTTTCTTCAAATATACTGATCCCACCTTTTGGATTGGGACAACTTAAAAGACATCTGCGCTCTCCTCTCCTGCTTCAAAGGTAAGATTGCACACTGCCACACTCACACTTAGGTAGGGCCACACTCACACTTTACTGATATCAAAATCCTTCGGGATCGCTTAAACAGATTTAGCAGGTCGTCTGAATTGAAACAGCAGTTAATTGAACCTGGTTCTTCAGGAGTTAATAGAGGTGAGATCTTGCTGACGTTGGTGGATCTGAGCCAAGCAGTACACTTACATAGACTCAATAACTTCTGCTATTAATTGCGCACTCAAAAATGAATAGCTGCTGATTTACCAAGCGAACGCGAGAGACGGCTGAGTTGACCGCAGTTATGCAACAGCAACCGAAGCTAAACTGACTATCTTGACTACTTGTTGCTATCCTATTGTGGCATAAGCCGTTTTCTACAGGCACATTTTACCTTTTCATTATGATTCTACGTGATAGTCGGACTCGGACATGACAACCTGTGCAGCCCATGTATTGATTCCATCCGATAGCTGCTATAATAACAAACAAAACGTCTGCCTGCTCTCCACAATGATCAATGACAGCGAACGGATGGTCAAAGTAAGGTACAAATAAACAGAATCACACGAAGCCTGGTTAGTGTTGCCTGACTTTATAAAGCGTGTTTGTTTATAAGTGTGTGGTTGCGTTCTAGTCACTTTGCTCAGCGCTACTGCTTGTTACAACTTTCATTTTCTGTACTCGCCATAAACTGTTATTATGGCTCAGGTTAATCTCGCCCCCTTCCGACGTGAGCGTGGTTCTTGGTTCTTGCCGGGCAGCCAAGTGGGGTCAGCTAAGAACCGGTGTTCGGTGTTTAGAGCCGGCTCCGCTGCGGCTGAAACAGGAAGAACCAGAGCTAAATCAGGCTGAGTGTGAAACAAGAGCTATTGAGTCAGTGTTGCGGTGCTGTTGCTTTGGTCTGGATCTGTGAGCTAACCACGCCCCGTTCATTTGCATATAAGAAATGGAAATGTGTCATTATGAAATACAAGTCCCCTGAAATAAATAAATGTGTCATTATGAAATACAAGTCTCTTGAAATAAATAAATGTGTCATTATGAAATACAAGTCTCTTGAAATAAATAAATGTGTCATTATGAAATAAAAGTCTCTTGAAATAAATAAATGTGTCATTATGAAATAAAAGTCTCTTGAAATAAATAAATGTGTCATTATGAAATACAAGTCCCCTGAAATAAATAAATGTGTCATTATGAAATACAAGTCTCTTGAAATAAATAAATGTGTCATTATGAAATACAAGTCTCTTGAAATAAATAAATGTGTCATTATGAAATACAAGTCTCTTGAAATAAATAAATGTGTCATTATGAAATAAAAGTCTCTTGAAATAAATAAATGTCTCATTATGAAATAAAAGTCTCTTGAAATAAATAAATGTCTCATTATGAAATAAAAGTCTCTTGAAATAAATAAATGTGTCATTATGAAATAAAAGTCCCATGAAATAAATAAATGTGTATTTAAATGTACATGTATACATATTTATTGCCTCATTTATTTATTTCAGAATGTCTTTCATAGGCATATTTATATATATATGTATTTATTTAATTATTTATGTATTTATTTAATTTTGGCTTAAATGGCATTCCATAGTATCAAATGGTCTCGCGGGCCGTATACGGCCCGGGGGCCGGAGGTTCCCCACCCCTGGTCTACATTAACAGATGAAGCGGACTACTGTCATTCAGCGTGTCAAAGATCTTCTATTCACACCAAGATGTTACATCCCCCTTCTTTTGAAAATTAAGTATTGCTGCCATATCAAATTACAATCATATGCATTCAAAAAATAAATTCAAGTCTAAGGCACTATATCAACCACTTGCGCATAAGTACTGTATCACTGAGGAAAATATAAAGCTGGTAAATCAACATTTAGTTCATTCTTCTGCACTATATCTTTACCATTCTAAACGGAAGAGCTGACCTGCCTGCCTTATTCATCGTGCATGAACCAAATATGTTTTGCTCTGGCCCCGGAAGTCTGCAGAGAGTAACCCCCCTTTTCCTCGACTACGGTCTGGGAGCCGACATGACAACGGTACAATGTTCCCCCTTTCTACGCACGGATGATAATGCAATCAAATAATTAGCGTGCAGGCCAAGGCTGGCTCTCCAAAGCAGATATTAACGACGCTCTTAAAGTTCCCACTCATCCGTCCCAGTGGAACTCCTTCAGCCTCAGGTGGGAGTAAAAAAAAGTTGAACTGTCAAAACACTGCTGGCAACTTGATCAATACCCTATAAAGCAATAATAAAATAAAGGGAAAGAAAGAATTTGACAATGTTGAGTACAGTGTTAGACAGCTGCGTGATGCTGTGGAAGAAGCCAGAGTAGGGTACCTTTTCCAGTGAGTCCAGGGCGTTCTGTGGGTTCTTATGGTTCTTCCTCAGGGCTTTCACATCCTCACGGCTGATGACTGGATCCTTGAGCTGCTCCAGCCACGACCACATGAGAGCAGAGAGGACACAAGGATCTCTCTCCATACACAGCCTCTCCCACGCTCCCTCTCTTGAGTTCAGTTCTGTCTGCACAACACCACACAGAGCAGCACTCAACTGAGAGAACAATAGGCAAACAGTGCAGCTTTACATCCGGGAAGACAATGGACTCAAATGTGCTGAATTTATATATATATATATATATATATAAATTCAGCACATTTGAGTATCCCCCAACCCCCTTGAAACTCTTAAGATTAGGCTGGATTACAAATGCTAAACACATTTTTCTAGTCAGTATTTGTTTTTAGCAAAATCATATTTAAAGTATATTTTAACCGCCACAATTATTATCAGCATATCTTTAAAAGAATGTGTACTTGGCCTTTGCCATTGCAGAGACTCTCTGCCTTGTCTGGGATCATTGTATCGTTAGAAAGGTGAAGCTTCTCCTGCCTGTATGCATGCTCACCACGCAAGACTCCATTGATGAAGAGAAATAATGTTGAAGCTCGTTTAAAGTTTGATGCACAACATTAAGAAAAGCCTGTGAAATACTGGGAGAATATAGTCTGGTCAGATGAGTCCAAAACTGAATTCTTTGGAAGCCATAAAACACACCATGTTGGGAGGTCAAATGGCACTGCACATCACCAAAAAACACCATACCAACGGTGAAGTTTGGAGGTGGGAACATCATGGTGCGGGGCTGTTTTTCAGCATACGGCACTGGCAAACTTCATATCATTGAAGGACGGATGAATGAAAAAATGTACAGAGACATTCTTGTTAAAAATCTGCTGCCATCTACCAGGATGATGAAGATGAAACGAGGGTGGACATTTCAGCAAGACAATGATCTCAAACACAAAGCCAAGGAAACTCTCAATTGGTTTCAGAGAAAGAAAATAAAGCTGTATTTCTGTAGCTGAAAGTATGCTGAAGTTATTGAGAGGCTCTCAATAACTTCAGCATACTTTCAGCTACAGAAACCATCACAATATTCAGCCTGTTCAGCACATGATGGGAAACTTTAAATTATTTTATTTTTTTACAGTTTTATTTTATATTTGATGTGAAGCACAACGTACCATGCTGTTATAATAACGCTCTTAATCAGCCTTTGAAACTGAAACCATTTTGGGAGAAAAATTACAAACATTTTAGTAAGCGTGTTCAATACCTTTTCCCTGTGTCATTCCATTTTATTACACATAACTTGATTTCGGACCTTATTTGTTTTGGATTCCTTGCATGTGGGTAGTGCATGGGTTGTTACCGACATCTGGTGAAAATATCATGTCAATAGCACTATACTGTAGTAAAGTAGACTCATATACTATAGGGCACGCTGTCCTGGTGTCTTGTACATTTGAAATCAGCTTTCATGTGGAATAGCTTGTGAAGCTTTTAAAGCTGAACACTGTTGTTTTGTTTATCATTATGTGGTTGTTATGATGGCTTTTATAGTTGACAATGAGGCTTGTCCAGACTGGTCTCATTAGTGATGTATTGTACATGTGGGGTTCACTACCTGCCATATTGAGACCTTGGAGGTGAAATCCTTGTCTGCCTGGTCCATGGCCAGAGCTTGGGCCACCAGCAGGCATCTTCCCTCTGGAGAAAGATCAGACTGGACACTGATGTCTGCTCCACCCGCTGTCACATCCACCTCACTGCGGTTTGACAATGCCGGCAGTGTGGCAGCACACTGAGATTTTCTTCCCTGCTTGGACAGATCTAGAGACAAACTCTGGTGCCCCTCATGCAGTTGCTTTTTGAACAAAGAGGACCCATTGTCTTGCTTTGCTTCCATATTGGAGCCCTGAATGCTGCTGATAATGTCCTGAGGAGAAAAGTCATCAAATCTTGGAGGGACACCGACTGTAAGGCTGCTGTGAGACAAGGAATGTTTGATCTGGCAGTTGATTGGTTTGTTGCTCTTTAGAGGTCCTAAGTGCTGTTGCTGTTGTACAAGTTTGTCAAGAACCGAATCGCTGTAACTGAGGCTCCTGTAGTTGGACAGGGATGCCTGCAGATGGAGCAGCTCATTATCCCTGGTCAGAGGTTTATCAGGTGGAGGTCTGGAATGCAGAGCAGGTGGGCTGAGAGGAAGAGAGGAACAAGGTTGAACAGTAATCCCTTTCCCTCTCATCTCCTTGCCGAGCTGCTGAAGGGCCTGCTGGGACACGGTCTTTTCCACCTCAGCTGTTAGGTCAGGGATCTGCGCCTCCATCACCACCTGTCTGTTGGCTGCAATGTCAACAAGGAGCCTACACACCAGCTGGATGATCTTTGGCACATTCTTCATCTGTCGAGCCTCGTAGCCGTGCAGCAGGTGGCGCTGCCGTGTAAGGTACTGGGACAAGGTGACAGCGCTGGCTTTGGGTTCTGCGCAGGAGAAGATGCTTCGGAGAGGAACAAGGAACTGAGCAAACTCCCTGACGCACAACAACTGGCCTCTTGTCTGAATGGAGTTAGGTCTCTTGGCTCGCACAAACAGTATGGCCTGGTCAGCACTCATCCGGGATGTAAAAACCAAGTAACAAGCTAACAGCACACCTACATGACAAAAACATTAAGAAATAAAAAACTTGTACTTTACATGCATAAAAGCAGATGAAGTGCTACAAACCTGTTCTTCCAAGACCTGCATGGCAGTGGACAGCCATTCTCCCCTCTTGGACTGCAAATGACATTACTTTTACCATGTCAAGGATTGTAGTCAGAGAGGCCACACCATAATCCTTCCAGCCAAAGTTGTAGTAATAAACTGAAACAGACAAAATCGGAATAATACAAAGCTGATGAATGTGTACCTGAGCCCTTACAGACATGGCAACAGATTCTCCCACAGGCTTCATTATACTCACACATAGGTATCTGACTGAGATTATTATTGAGGTTTAAAGCACTTCCCCTGGTCACCACCACGCGAAATATAGTTTTTAATTGACTAATCGGAGAAGAATGTCTTCAACTAATTAAAAGGATCTATTTCGCATTGTTTCCTGCTGTGTTATATAATTAGTCAGTCGCTTTTGATCGTTTTGTACACCAGAATTTCATGTTCCATATTTAACTGACACTTTTATCCAAAGCGATTTCCACTTCAAACTTATATTCATTGTTCTTATCCAGAAAAGGTTACTGATGAACAGAAAGGAGGAATGTTCAGCTCTGTCTGAGAGGTGTTTCCTTTGTTTACAGTTCTATTTCTTTCTTTATTTCATTATGCTACGCAGTGCAATTTTGTGTCATTGTGGTATAAAACATTTTTTATACCACAATGACATGACCTGACTGTAATGGGTAAATAATATGTATCCAGTCCCACATACAAGCATGCAACTTTGTAATGTTGTAATATTTGTTCTTTGAAATACTTATATAGATATGAATGAGATGATACATGTATTACTGTTATCTTCGAAGGCCTTTGGTTTCACTCTCTGCATGGTTGGCCTTGTGCTGCTGCTGCCTTTATGTTAATCTGACGTTATCCGTTTAGAAAGTGTGCCGCTTTGACTTTTACACAACAGGGACTTGAGATCAGCCTGGTAAATAGCATTTTACAAACGTGAAGGGGTTCACACAGCATTTTCCATGTAATATATGTCACTTTCTTCAATTATTATTATAACTCCTAAAAAATGTTTTAAAAGTGTCTGCTTGAGCCAATGGAAGGGTGGATGGTACCACCTGGTCCTCACTTAGAGCCAAGTAAAACCACTGAGTGTTTGAGGGGTGTGGCAGTAAAAACTGAATTCCAGAGCACCCTCCCTGGAAAGTAGAGAACACCATGGCACCAGAAAAATGACAAGTGCGGTGCAGCCCCTTTACTTATATAATTAAAAAATAAATGTGAGCTGATGACAATTACTCCATCCTTCTCAGAAGTAAAACAACATTCCTAAAATTAAAGAAATAAATGGGCTTTTTGTGACAGGGAAGTAATGTGAGCATGGCCCTGTTATGATATCCAATCATTCACGATTACCTTTTTATTACCTCCAGGATTTTATGTTTCACCTACTGTTATTTAGGTCAAACAACAATGTTATATGTTTATCTGTTTGTGCCCTGTGTTTCGTGAGTCTACAGCATGTACTAGAGAGGATGATGAGACTGACTGCCAAGCCGCCATATAGCTCACCTGGTGGAGCTGGCATGTATTGGGGCTCAGCTCCCATGCGGAGGACCCAGGTTTCGAATCCGGCCTGCATGCTTGTCATCCCCTCTGTCTCCCCCTTTCAACACTGTCACTCTCAAATAAAGACTACTCTTGCCCAAAACCTTTAAAAAGAAGAGACTCACTGCCTGCCTTCATGAAGGTGTCCGGTCTATAAGTAAAAGCACTCTCCTGCTCAAGTGGGTTTCCACAGCTGGCATGTTCTCCGGGCCGCTGCAGGTTGATGACCGTCTTCAATCCACACCTGAGCACAAAGACGTGCGATGTGTGTGTCAGTGTAAAGAGTTACCCACACAAAAGTTCACTACAAAACGCACAACACAAGAACCACTTAGACAACATTCAACCTTAATTTCACGTACAAATGTTAACAAGGAATGATGTACACCAAATACAAATCTTTATATTTAATTGAGGTGTCAAAAAAGTGACTACTGTACCTTTGAAACTGTTCAATTATATTATATTTCTCTATGATTTCTGTGGAAGGCCTTGCCATAGCTAGCAAGTTGTCAGTAATCCTGTAAGTGGAGAATATGACATATTAGGGGACATATTGTTATATACACGGTACAATCATAGAAATAATTTTGAATTAGGACTGTTTATAAAGATAAACAGACTCTCTTCCACCCCTGCAGAAACTCGGATCCATGCCTTGATTACATCCAAACTGGATTACTGCAACAGCATCCTCTATGGTTCACCTGCATACATCCTCAATAAACTGCAATATGTCCAAAACTCAGCTGCCCGTATGCTCACCTCCACCAGACGCTCCGACCACACCTACCCCTATCCTCCACCACCTCCACTGGCTCCCCATCAAACACTGCATTGACTTTAAAATCTTACTATTCACTTACAAAGCCCTCAACAACCTTGCCCCCCCCCTACCTCTCTGACCTCATCCAACGACACACCCCCACCCTCAGGTCTGCTGAAGCTAACCTAAGCCGCGTTCACACCGGAGTACTTTTCACCGTACTTTTCTCGTTTAGTTCCGTTAGTACCCCTTATGTCGCGTTCACACCAAAAAGAGCACTTAATCTCGGGAACTTTTACCCCCATTTTTAGTGCCTGCTGAGAGAAGGTACTTTCCTGGGGGAAAAAAGTGCCCCAGTTCTGATTGGCTGGGCGAATTGTAAACCACGCCCCGTACAACTCTGAAATGTTTTGTAGAGCCGCCATTTTATTATCCTGGCATTAGCATTATTAGCATTAGCATTCGCCCAGTGCACAAACGCAGAGAGACTAACTTATGGCAACACAAAATAAAACATGGGAGCGGTGGAGATGAGGTGGTGTCGGCGTTCCGGCGATTTACTCTGAAGTCTTCAGTAGAAGCTGCTGGGAGTCCCAGCAGCTTCTACTGAAGCCAGTCCCCAACTCCGGGGACTCCGGGTGGCAGTATACACCGTGAAGTTGTTTGCGGCCTGCCAGTAAACCCAAAGCAGAAGAAGACGAAGTGACGTCAGCGGCTCATTTGCGTAATCTTCCCTCAGGGAAAAGTACTCCGGTGTGAACGCGATCTGTACTAAATGCCCTGGGGTAATAAGTGCCGGGGCACTGAGTGCCGGCACTAAATACGGCAAAGTACTTGGTGTGAACGCGCCTTAGAGGCGCGTTCACACCAAGTACTACTGCAGCCCATCAGGACAAAGCTCCGGACCTGGGGTGACAGGGACTTCGCAGCAGCCTCCCCTCCCTATGGAACTCCCTCCCCAGCCACGTTCGATCTGCCAACACTCTCACGTTATTCAAAAAAATCCCTCAAAACTCACCTCTTCACTCTTGCCTTCAACTCCTAATCCAATAACCCCTTGCCCCTATTCCACCTAGCTAAGCGCTTTTTACTTTTCTTGTTATTTTTCTTCTTTACTTGCTTGTAAAGCGCTTTGAGCACCAGGAAAAGCGATATATAAATAACATGTATTATTAGTGCGAATGCTGTGCAACCGCATTCACACTATTGTTCTTCTGTTTCTTTAATCTTCTTCTTATTATTATTTCAACAAAACGTTTGGCTCTCAATAACTTCAGCATACTTTCAGCTACCAGAACCATACAAATATCAAAATATTCATCCTGTTCAGCACATGATGGGAAAATGGGAAAATTATTTCAAAACTTTGTATACTTCTTAAAATATTCAGCTTTTTAAACTCTTTTTTTTAAACATGTAACTCAATGGGAGGAACCTTCAAATCCTTGTTTACCTACACCATGTACAAAATGCTACTCCTTCCACATACTCTCCGCTAGAGACTTCATTCCAACTTTAAAATGGCCACAAGACATTCAGCTATTAAAATTGTATTCAGCTTTTTGATATCTTTTACGGTTTTTGACTTATCACAGTTTACGTTTTGGTAAATGTTCAGGCCGTTTTAGATTTTATAATGGTTGTCTATGGGACAGACTCTTCAGGGCTAGAGTGAGTGACATCATCACTTAGAGCAGGGGTCTCCAACCTTTCTTCATCTGAGAGATACTTTGAAAAAATGAAAGTGGCCAAGAGCTACTTGCATCACATCGCTTACATTTATTCACATAGCACTCATCAGTTGAATTAAGCTATTTTGATTTTGTACACGTGTGAAATTGCAATACCTAAAGCTTATCAAAAATCTTAACTTCACATCAAGGTCCAATAAAACGACAATTTCTCACATATTATTATGGCCCACATAGTACGTACATCACTGAAAATTCACATAAATGTCCAAGAGAAAAATAATTTGTTTTCACTTCTTATTATGGCCCACATAGTAAATACATCACCACCTTTCAAGCATCTTATGGCACATGTGTAAAATAAGTGCATTCACTCTTTTTTACAGTTAGTGAGATGACTGGCACTGCATGGAGTCCACCATAGAGGTGTATGCTGGAGTGTACCCACTTTTATTTATTTGGTTATTTGATTGATTGATTTATATACTGCATTGTCTTGTTTATGTTTCTTATGCTGGTGTTATCTATTGTGTATCTTGTTTTTTATGTATTTGTACGGCGATCTTGAGAGCCTTGAAAGGCGCCTATATAAAATAAATGAATTATTATTATTATTTACCCACTTAGGTTCACTCTAATAGAGTCATTTAAATGTTCATCACTCAGTCTTGTTCTGTATTTAGATTTCATGACATTCATGTCAGAAAAAGCTGCTTCACAAAGGTATGTAGAGCCAAATAAAGCAGACATTTCCAGTGCTGCTTGGTGAATGTTCTTATAGTTTTCTGGGTCTACAAGGCTCCAGAAATGTTGTGAGTTTTGCTGAGACTTAAGCTGAACATTATTTTGGAGATTTATAACCTCCATCTCCATCTCCACAGGATTGACACTGAACAGTTCAGCCATCTTTTTCTTCTTCGTCTTGACATTAAATTATAAACCATAATAAATCAATTGTATAGGTCTAGCCTCCCTATATCTGTGTGTGAAATTGTGCCATCCTCAAAAACTAAAGACTAATGCTTCTGCAGTCTAACTGCAGCTTCTAGCAACGGTCTTCTGTTAAAAAAGGACACTGAATGTCCTGAATGTGGCATCACAAACAGGACTTGAGTCTGAACACAGCAGACAACAGGAGTATTTACAACAGCATATACAAACAAAAATACTGCATGTGGGTGCACACTTACATTCTCTGTCTTACTGTTACATAAATCCCATGAATGTATGAGATTAAGTTAGCTTCATCATATCTCAATCAGTGATTAAGTGAATAATAAAGTTTCTATCAGGTTCCTTTCAGGGGGGGGGGGGCTGGGTTTGGGGAAACAGAGGAGATGGTGATCGTGTGGAGTCTATTTTTATATAACATTAGAAAGACTGATTCTTATTATTCCATTATAAGCTTATTGTGCTCATTTTATGTGGCTGTGACTTTGGACAAAATCACCAATCCCAAGGTTTGATGGATTGGATAGGAAACAAAGGGAAAAGTCACATAAGAAGGTTTTAGCCTGCAATACAGAGTAGCAAGGTCAGGTGCAGACACTGGAAGAATACAAAGAGTTATTCATAAACAGGACATCGCTCCGGCCTTGAGTTGTATGGGAGCTCCCACGTATAGCTAGGAAGCAGCATTATGAAGGTTTTCCACTATAACTGTAGAAACGTTAGCGAAAACAAATTACGTATGATGGCGACAGAGTAGGGAGGGACTTCCACAGGCCGGCCGAATGCTGATTGTGTTGCCAAGAGACTCTGTCTGAGTCTGCGCACCAACGAGAGAGAGCCAAAGTCTAAACCAAGGTTACTCTCCATCTAGTCTCAACCAATCATAAATGTACGGGCAACGCCCTGTGCAATACAAATGTATTGTCGCACGAGGGTCGGGGCTCTTTCCGGAAATAGTGGTTACAGATTACAGCTTTGCTGCCTGTGATTTCTATGACGTGACGGAGTCCTTGGCCAAGTGAATATATATCTGTTGCTCTCTTATAATAAATAGTTAAACTTAGAAGTTGTCTGTCTTTCCTGGAATTTTGAACACAACAATCGCGGAAGTTTTCCTCCTGCCTTCACAAACTTTACACACGTGTGTCTGAGCCGCAGCGACATGGACTGATTCAGGTGCATTTATTGTTGTCGGATTTTTTCTACAGTTTGTGAACCGCACACACTCACTCACACTCACACACTAACAGGCCAAAGGCCTTTGCCCACCTAACCATTGTTTTTAATGGGATAACCTCCCATTTATTGATTTCAGACATCTCATTTTGTTTTTCTCCACCTTGCACTCCCCAAAACCACACACCCCTTCAAAATAAAAGCCCTATAGATGCAATGCTACTTTAACTTATACTACTATGTACATCTGATATTTAAGCCCTTCAGCCTACTTTCAGCTACAGAAACCATTCAACTATTAAATTATTCAGCTATTGCAGGACATTGAGGCTATACATTTTTTTGTTTATACCTTTTTTAAACCTTTTCTTTTAAATATTAAGCTATTTTTCCTACTCTTCCAGTTTAACATTTCACGTTCAAGTTTTCAACAAAGTAATTGCAATCATGGCCGTACCTACCATTGAGGTCACCGAGGTCCGGACCTCTGTAATTTTTTCGAGGTGTATATAATAAAAGTCGTGAAATAACTGCACATAATTAACAGGGTTCCTTGTAGTAGTTCCATGGCGGTGGGGGCGCTGCATAACCACGTAGCCTCGATTAAAGCAAACAGAAGAAGACGACATACATGTATCCAATAACACCCAGCTGCAGCCACAGTCCGGACTTGTACCGGAGCAGCGGAGGAGTGATGAGGTATCATCTAGAAATCTATCTATCTGCAAAGTGAGATGAACTAAATTACTGAATTATTTGTAATACACTGGCAGGAGCGACAGAGGAACATACAGTTAACAATAAGGGATGAGTAGAGGAAAGAGAGAATAATGAACAGAAAGAAGACAGCGAGATTACTTTTCCAATGTTTTGTGAGCATTTTAGCATCTTCTGCATGTCCATATTATGTCCATATTATAATGTGGATCATTATTGG